GCGCCACAAGTAATATCACAGTCAAGGGTATTTGGGACCAGTACTGCTTCCCAGTAAGAGGGGACTTCTACTCCTATTGCATAAACTGTACAATTAGTAGATAGCCCATGCTATCTATGCTGTTGAGGAATATCGTGCATTTTATTGTAATTCATTTTGGGAAGAAACAAGAGAAGTGAAAGCAAAAAGAAAAAGGAAATGTTCCTATGGGTGGTGTTTCTTATTGCCCACTGTGAAGGAAACATGCACCTCTGCAGAACTGTTGATCTCAGACTTCCAAAATTATGAGTCAGAGTCTAACAAAAAGCAACCTCTGGTTTTAGCTGATAATGTTGGAAACTTAAAACCTAGTATATGATAAGTTTCATTTGCTTTTCTATTTGGAAACTTAAGATTCAGATTACAAGTTTTTCCTGGCAGCCACATGATCATGATATTGGAAGTAAAATCATAAAAATTAGCAGCCCTGAAACTCTGTAGTTTCTGTCTTCCATAAGGATGATTTTATATTAAAATTTAATCACCTGGCCTCATTTGTTAAGGTCTTTCCAATACATTTCTTGTTACAGGAAATATTTGACAGTTACCGTACCAGTCTGGGGAGATTCTTCTAGTTTAGCTGCAGGGAAAAACTATTCATTCCAAAATGTTAACTATTGCCAAACAGGTATGAGGGAAAAAATAAAAAAGAAAAATAGAAGGCTGTTAACTAGTGTGGGATAAAGTTACAAAAATGTATGGTCCTTTTACATGAAGGAGAGCAAGGAAAGTATTAGATTTGTTAGAGGATACAGTTTATTAAAATCCTTGATGATGGGGACCTTTTGTCAATAGTAAGCATCTAAGAGAGAGAGGCTTCCAATAATACGGTACAGGAAAGGTCCTTGGCGTCTTAGACCTGACAATTTGACATATATTTTCATTGTGTGATCCAGAAAAATTAATTATGTGATAAATAAGTAGCCAATAGTTTGAAAACCTGTAGTCCTAGGGTAAGAAGTGAAAATCTAATTCTGCACATCAGGTTGCCATTATAGGTGTCTGGACACACATGCTGAATCAGGTAATTTGCCGTATCCAATTTTGTGTATAACTGAAAACACACCAAAGCTGAATCTTTGAAGTCATTGACTGAATTACCCTCAGGATGAGACAGGTAATGTATTAGTCTGTGCTTCTATCAGTGCTCTTGGGTATTATACCCAGTAGGGATATTCAAATCAGTTTTCAGGTCAAAGTTTGCTTCTCCTGCCCACTCTCTTTATGCAGTTTATTCAGAATCAGTTCTCTCAACTGTGTTGCTGACTTGTCCATGTCTTTCCTGTTTGGAAATATGCTTGAGTTTAGTTGATGCCGTAATATTAACTGTTCTAAAATGCCATTCCAAAGCTATAGTTGCTTACAGACTCCTACTATAATAGAATCCTTTAGTTTCATTTTGTACCTTCGTGATTTATTTTCTGTTCATTCTAGATGGCTTTTCTGGTTGGATTGCTTTATCTTCCCAAAATACCACTCCATCTTTTACCATTAAAGCTTCTAATAGTTCTTATGAACCTTCTTGGGTACCGATAGTAACTAATATGAGTAGCTAAAATTTTCTACTTTTCTGTAGCTTTATTTGTAGTAGGAAGCCGTAAGGTTCAGCTATAGCAAGTATCATCCAGGTTTGGGGTGTAGCTTTTGTTAAATTTTGAAACAACATTTTGTTTATTAAAATTGAATGTATTCAAGCCCCTGCTTTTGTATTTATCTACTTGAAAGTCCAGTATGTTGTCTTAACTGGTAGTAATTGATGTACACAAGTTTAAAAAGTACAGTTAATTAATGAACAGCCCTGAATTATTTTGCTTCAGACACAAATCAATCCTGAATTGCATAGGAGCAGTATTCAATTATAAAGTATTCAAGTTAAGTAGAAAATAGTTTTATTTTTTAATTTTTTTACCTTTCTCACTTATTTGCCTG